GGGGAATTCTGGGAGTTGAAGTCCACCCATCTTAAAGCGGCCAAGGTTGAGAAACACTGCTATAGACTATATCTTTGAATGCCATTTTTCAACTGTTAAGTTGTCTATAAATTTCCATTGTTGACTTACTATAGATTTGGCAGCTAAGAGTAAGAACATAATAAGTTATCTATTAATCAATTTAGCCCTCTTCCTCTCAAATATATGTAAATACCCCAACTCAGGGACATGTAATTCTACTTTTTGTTCAATTACAGATCTTATTTTCCGGAAAATGTTCTGCCAGAACGACACAACTTTTTCACAGTTCCACCACCCAGGAAGAAATGTACTTTTCTGTTTACATCCCCTCCAACATTTTATTGAGTAATCCTTACATATACACATTACTCATGTTGGGATTAAATGCCATCTATGTATTACCTTCAATTGCAATTCTTACATGGAGGCAGAGAGCTATCCTTCTGATTTCCATAGATGGCCAAATTTACACCCCACATCTATCTCTAACTCCAGTAGCATTTTGTATATTCTGGAAATTGTTCCTTTCAGTTGTGAGTAATGATTCATTATTCATTTCTCAAAATGAGTCAAAGCACAACTTGCTGTTTCCCTGACCACTTCAAAAAAGATTTAAGTCGAAACCATGTTAAGCGAGATACCTGAGAGCCGACTTCAATTCTGTCTCTTCCTTGCTGCGTAACCAATGGTTGTTATTAAAAATCTCTTATTCTATACAGTACAGACCACATGGTCTCCAAAGCTTGGATGGTATTGCCCCAGATGTGTCATAAAAACAGGAGATATCCTCTCAAGGGGGTTAATGGGGAGATGACCTCGATCAGTTCTGGACTTCTCTTCTTCCAAACCTGAAACGTAATTTTAGTAAATATGTTCTCTACGTTATCCTTTGGGGGAAAAAATAATATTTGACTCACGTATCTATCTAACTCTGGTACGTCTTCTACCTGAATCCATGTTTCAGTTGTGTCTTCCAATATGAATGGGATCACGTGCCCCAAATAAGCTGCTTGACAATATAATTTAAAAGAGGGGATCCCTCATCCTCCCTGACTCATGACCTGTAAAGAATTTTCCTATGGACCCTTGATTTATTAGCATTAAAACAAAAACAAAAAAATCAATTTTTCTCTGCCATATTGATGTTCTGTTTCCCTGAAATTTCAACTGGTAAAACTTGGAATACAAAATTTCATTTTGAAAGGGCCATCATTTTAACAGCCACAATTTGACCCAGTACATTCAAATATTTCTTGTGCCATCTTTTCGTATCTTTTTTCCAGATAGGAATAAGGTTATTTGCAAATAATTTATTAATAATTAGAGCAACATTAATTCATAGATGTTTGAAAGATTTATAGGCCGCTGGTATGTTTAATTTACTAGATACTTTTTGCTGCACTTTGGGAGGTGAATGAAAGAACGTTAGCTGAGACTTCTGAAAATTCACTACTAAACCTGATACCGCTGCAAATTCCTCCATACTCCATTTTAATATGTTTTGCAGAATCCCCAGGATTTGAAAATCAGATTCATGTCATCAGCAAACAAGTTTTACAAATATCCTTTTTCTCCTATTTTTCTTCCTTTAATTTCTTTGTTACGCAGGCTTTTTTTTTTACAAAATTAATGCCTTAAAGGAGGGTTTGTTATTTTACAGTTAACATAGGGCAGATTTTTACAAGATTTTGCCTGCGATTAAAAGCTTTAAAAGCATCTCCAACATGTTTATAGATTGCTGGCCTCTGCTGGAAACAATCGTAGCTGGATGTACTGTAGTCTCTTTTCAGATTAATTGGATTAATTTCATGAATGAATTTCCAAAACAGATGGATCAGACTCTAGGGACTGGAACACGTTTCCATAAGTTGATAATGCAGTGCGATCAGAAACCCCCCTTCACTGCTGCTCAACTTTTCCTTGATTTTTGCCACACAAATCATTTGTGTGGGTGTCGTGGGATCCTGTCCAAAGATGGTAGCCATGAAGACGCCACACACATAAAAACCAGGTGGTGCTTTGATCACATCACTACAGGCTTTTTAGACCCTACTCCATGGATGCGCCTGGTCATTTGTTTCTGATTTTAATTTTTATGTCTTTCCTTTCCATTAGAGTCAGACATGAGAAGACAGATACCGTTCGCTGCATTAAGTCCTGTCGACCAAACGATGCTAACTGTGTCTTAGACCCCGTTCACACGATTTCCCACACTGTTATCTCTTTGCCCACTTTCCGGGAATTTACAAGGCCAGAAGGTAATGAGTTTCTTTGCTCTGTAAAATGATCTAGAGGGACCCATTCTGGGGTGGTGGTTCTAGGTATCTTGGACTCCTTGCTACCCAACAAGACTGTTGGGCACAGTGGTTAGGACTGGAGGTCTTTGTAGTCCAAGGCCTATAGAAGACACAACGTAGGGGAAGTCCTATGATATTACAGGGAACCTCCATCATATCAATGACACAGAAAGCGATCCATGAAATATTTCTTCCTTCTAGCTTACCTGTGTATGGCTGCTGATTAGGTTCCACAATGAGGTTCTGAGATCTTAGGTTTCTCGTTGCCCAAGTTGCAAATATTCAAGTCATGGAGGAAATGCTATTCCTCCGTCCCAGGCAAGCGGCGCCAACGTCCATCCTGGGTTTGTTGTTATTTGCTTAACGGAGTTGGTCCAACTGGTAAAGGGTCAAACAGCACTGCTCTTTGGGGCAGGTGCTTCTCATCGCTGTCTTCAGGTGACCCTCATGCTCTCTCTCCTCAGAGATTATTTTCCTTCGTGCCATTACGCCGGCATACTCAACCAACGAGGCTGACATCATATTTGATATAACCGAGGGAAATTTACGAGATTCTTTTGACATCATCAAGCGCTATATGGATGGCATGACTGTGGGTAAGAAATTCTCCTCTTTTGTGTTGCAGCTGTTACCATTAAACCCAAGGGGGTTGGTATGATATTCCACCATCCATCCATCCATCCATCCATCCATCCATCCATCCATCCATCCATAAATATTCCATATATCCTCCTTCCAAAAGTTTTCCTTTGGTTAGAGCTCTATTTCCAAGGGTAAACAGGAAAGCCGAGTCCCTCAAGGGGAAGATCCGACTCAGAAACTGACTTCCAACCACCCCAGAGGCAGGTTTTCTCCCCATGATCGTATGGCAAAAGAGAGGAAAAATCCCTGGAAAGATTGAAGCCCCCAGACCAGAAGAGGGCTTCTTTCTAGTTCAGGCCATCATTTCCTTCCTTAACACACTGAGATGTTAAATCAGCATGTTTTCAAGCATGTTTTTTTTTTCTGGAACTCAGCTTAGGGAGAGAAGAGAGGCCAGTTTGGGAGGATGGGTGGGAAGAATCCTGTTTGTTTGGGGGGAAAGAAATGGCAGAGGTACCCCCTGGTTCTTCTAAGCATGTCCCACTCCTGAAGGTTGAGGGAAACTGCAGTTGATTACCAGGAAAGTAAGATCCTTTTATTAAAGCTCAGAAGCATATTGGTATTCCTTAACTGAGATTGTTGATTTAAAATCCTCAATTCTGGGGTTGCTAACTAATGTCGCTGCAAGTTAAGAGCAATGTCCCAGAGTTGCTGGGAGCCAGGCAGCATGTAGATTCCTTCTCCTTCTCCTTCTCCTTCTCCTTCTCCTTCTCCTTCTCCTTCTCCTTCTCCCTCTCCTTCTCCTTCTCCCTCTCCTTCTCCTTCTCCCTCTCCTTCTCCTTCTCCCTCTCCTTCTCCTTCTCCCTCTCCTTCTCCTTCTCCCTCTCCTTCTCCTTCTCCCTCTCCTTCTCCTTCTCCCTCTCCTTCTCCTTCTCCCTCTCCTTCTCCTTCTCCCTCTCCTTCTCCTTCTCCCTCTCCTTCTCCTTCTCCCTCTTCCTCTTCCTCTTCCCCTTCGCCTCCTCCTCCTCCTTCTTCTTCTTCTTCATCATCATCATCATCATCATCATCATCATCATCATCATGCATTACGGTGATTTCTCCTTTCTCCACTTGCTTTATTTCCTGCTACCTCAATTTAAGAAATCCATTATCTACTCGTTGGGCCCTTGCAGCATGTGTTAAACCATGTGAACCCATTGAACAGACCCTGGCATTACCATCCACATGGCCTGGATTTCAGGTTTTCTTTTCACCCTTCCTGCAAAAAAGCCCCCCAGTTCATTCTTGTGGCTTATAGGAGGGAGGTTGGTAGCAGTGAACAATGTGTAAAGGAAGGACGGTCCATAAGCATTGCTCTTCTCTTTCACCAAGGGGTGAGAGGTTTCAGAGGATGCTAGAGTTTCTCCAGCACATGGTTTGAAAATGCTAGCATGCACCATGCTAGACTCCATGGCCCAAAAGTCTGTTTTGCTCCTGATCACCTGAGAAGAGCGTATAAGTTTGGGGTAGAGCTCCAAGAGAACCTGAGAAGAAGGAGAAAAAACAGTTTAGCAGAATTTTGGTCTCTTCTTCACCTCTTCCTTTCTCTGAAGTGAGGGCACTGCTAGGTTCAGTCAATGTTCTGGCCCGAGAAATCAAAGGATCTCCTCAGACTGTTGGACTGGAGAGTAGGACCAGCGATGTTCAGATTCTAGGAGTCCTAGTGTATTTTGAAGTTATGCATCTGCCTGATAGGATTAAAACCAAAAGAAAGCACGCTGAGCGATGGGCAAGGGAAACAAACGACTGTATCCTCACCCGGGCGAAGTTTCAGGACCTGCCTTCCAGCTTGGCCTGAAGGTGGTGCTGTGGTCGTGCTGTCGCCAATCGCCTAACTTTATTTCATAATTTCTCCAGCAGAAGTGTTTAGTTGGTGCCGAAGGGAAAACTTGTTCAGGCAGGCTTCGAAGCTTTGGGGCGTTAAGTACAGCGGTTTGGGAAGACAGCCATTAAATAGGTGGAGGACGGTTTTGTGCAAGGGTGCTGATGCCAACATAGAAGTGATGAACTCTGGGTTGATTCTCATCCATCTGCGCAACCGAAAGGGTGGTCATCATAAAGTCGGATAGGCAGGGAGAAAGGGTACCTATTTTAGGGGCTTCTATGCAATGGCACAAGTTTTTATGTGAGTTCCGCATTGCCATCGTCCCATGGCACCTCTAAGAAGATGCCCTTGACTCCTCTCCGCGTTTCCAGGCTGTCACATCAATGGCAGCTGAGTTTGCCTCCTTTCATAACCTGTAGAGTTAGCCACACTTTGTACATATAGGATATAAAAGAAGGCGAATTCGGTGTGCTATTGGTGTGGCGGATAAAGTTCACTTCCCTCACTCAAACTTTTGATAATCAAGTCACCTGTTCTCAAACATGGCTTCCTCTGCTTGCAGATCACACTGGGGTATGGTCTTGATTGATTCATTACAGAATATATGTATATATGTATGTTTGTGCATATAAAACTTTTCTGTGAAAAATTGGGCAGCTTGAGTAGCCAGGTGTAAACAGAATGCATCGGCCAGGAAACAACTGCGTGCTTTAAATGCAAACGATGGAAAGCGTCAGTCTGGCAAAAATAAAACAGTATCTTTTTTTTTTTTTTTACAAGAAAGCATTGCCATTGAATGGAGCACTACATTTAAAACTGAGGTGAGGCTAGAACACATTTTCACACAGGTGGGGGTGTCTGCAAGGGGAGAGGGGGTCAAAAAAGTCAATACGCAGCTGTGGCTGTGCAATCGAGTCCTGGCCCTCCGTTGTGCCTGGACAGCCCTGCGCACAAGTGGATCTGCCCAGCAGAGGAAGGAAGTAGGACCAGGTCAGCAGAACTGAGCCCAGCACCAGACATGTGCCCAGCATGTCTGCAGGATGTGGTCAAAAAAGTCAAGATGGTGGCTGTGGCGGTACCATTATGTGCAAGGCACATGAAGACCAGGCAGAGCTTTGTTCGCACCATCATGGCTACCATGTTGCCTTTTTCTGACCATCCCCTGTGAACATCCCTGCGTGTGCCTGTGAAAAGGGTCTCTTTGCCTATCAAAGTTACATGGGTAAGCTGCATTAAATGGAGCCTGGAGCCCCGGCAACTCAAAATCAGTTTAACACCAACTAAAAGTCAACCGTAAAAGAGAGAAGGAAGCAGCAGGGTGACTTTGTGTATGAAATCAGGCACTTCACATCCTTTTCGGATCTCTCTGTGGAGTGTTAGTTTTTACCCAAAGTCTCTGTCTTCTTACCTGACCACCTCCACCAGCTTAAAGGCCAAACCTCTTACCTGATCACCTTTCCAGCTTGAAGGCCACATCTCAGAGGTTAGAGCAGGAATGGACACTTTTGGGGGTAAGGGTGGACTGGACAAAGTCTTCCCGTGCTTCGGAAAGACTTCAGCAGCTTGCAGCCAGTAGCCATCCTCTTGCAACGGGCAAGTTGGGGAGGTTTTAAGGGTCAAAATTATCGCCTTAAGTTTTTGCCTTTCCTTTTCGCCGGGAGGCAGCAGGTGAACGGAGAGAGCTTGTCTAAAGCAGCCTCTCTTCCAGGTGTTAATGAAAAAAATGCAGGTCAGTCACAGCCCACCTTTGGAAACGCAAGAAAGAGATGGAAAGATTCGGGTCCTGCACCTGGGGGTCTGCAGGGTGCCGAGGCAGGGCTGGGGGTGAAGGTGTGGACAAAGACAAAGGCCGGGCGTGTTTCTCGGAGCCCAGAAGTGAAGATGGGGGATATGGGGTGGGAGCCAGAGCAGATCCGGCTGGGGTCCACCTGGTATATAAGTCTGTGTATGGAAGAAGTGAGCAGAAGAGGACCCCCTTGCATCTCCGCCTGCAGAGCATCGCAGCTGATCCAGGAGAAAGGGTGAACAGGAGCAAAACCTCGCTTGTTCTCTTTAAGCCTCTTTACAGACCTTCAGCTACAAGCTCTTCGGTTTTTTTCTTTTTTCTTCAACCAGGTGTCCGGGAAGAATTCGCTTCCCGCCTGTACAAAAAGGTTTTTATTAAAGCCTGGGTGTTAGAAAGCTTTCCCCTTAGCTCTGCCTAATTCTCTTACACCTCCTGTATTCAGGTGACACCACTAACTCCTGCCAGCCCCAAACTTAGCGAAAGCAAGACTTTGGCACAGTTGCCCCGAGTTAATAGACAGTGCGCTCTTGGCTTTTAAATATCCACAACCCTATTTGTGGTGTGTCATGCTCTAGCAGAGAAAGATCTTCCCTACTGGTGCCAAGAAAATGGGGTGGGCATTCCCAGGGGTGGAGGGCATCTTGAAGCAGGAGACTTTATCAAATTCTTTTGAAGATCTGGCACACCGTGCAAATGACGTGAAGTACGGAGTCAGTGTTGGCTTGCCAGGATTAACTCAGAGAAGAGCAGAGTCAGCGAAGCTAAATGAAGGTTTTAAAAAATTAAAATGTGTAGGCCGATGGAAACGAAAAGATTTTGTTTCAGTTATTGACTAGCCTTAAAGAAATACAAACAATAGAGCTTTCTTTTAATCATTCTTTTGCTAGTGTTGAATTCTTTTTCTGTGTTGGTTGCCAGTGGCATTCCCCTCCCAGAAAAACAGTGAGAAAATCTCACTTTTCTGCAAAAGAAGGAGGGAAAATTCTCCAACAACTATATTTAAAGGGTAGTAATGGTGACCCCTTTTTTCCTACTCTTAGAATTTGCTCAGGGATTAGAGCTCTGGAACGTCATTCTTTGAAATTCTGTTTTAAGTAGAGACCAAGCGCTTGTCTCAATGGCGCCGCGATTCCAGGCCACATCCTCTCTCTCTTTTTGTGATAAAGTGATTCACAGACCTATGTCGTGCTATGTGCCACGGTGGGACTTGTTCTCAAGATGTAGTTTGTTTGTTTATTAAATTTGTATGCCGCCCATCTCCCTGGAGATAGTTATGGAGCTGATCACTACCTAGCTGAGGTGAACATCCTGTTCAGAATGAACAAGATGCTTCTGGTCCATCTTCCAACTCTCAAAATATTGGA